CATAAAATTATTTTATGTTTTCCGTATTTTTTCAAAAATATGTGTTTTCCAATGGTCTTAGGCGACTCCTGTGAAAGGGTTGTTCGACTCCCAAAGGGGTCCCGACCCACAAGTTGAGAACCACTGGTTTAGATGCAGTTTACCACCCACTTTGGGCTGCAAGCAACCCGACTCCGAAAAAACCTGGTCCCAGCGCACTGGAGGCTGCCACCAGCCTCACACCGTCCACTGGCTGTGCCTCAATCAGAAGGACTTGGGCCCCCCACTGGCGCACTGCCAGGGAGTGCGTCTTCCATGCGCCACATTTCCCATACCCCACCACGGGATGGGGATTCGGTGCTGGGCTCTTCCCTCATTGTTATTGAGGGAATCCTGGTAGTTTTTTCCCCCCTCCACTAACTAATATACTTAAATTCAGCAGGTCACCACATACACAATAGAGACAAATAGGGTGGGTCCCTTTCCCAAACATGAAAGAAGACCCCCACTGTCAGAAGGTTTGTGGGAAGGGGATCAAGGCAGGCTTTACTTGCAAGGGGTCCTGGGTTCATTGAGATAGAAAATTCATCTAAGACCATGGGAAGCCATCACTGGACAGTACAAACCAGGGGAAGGGATCATCTCTTCAGGGCTTTTTACTTTTCGGTAGAGGACCAATAGCTGCCAGAAGGCACTTTCATGAGCAAAGTTGCTTTGGGGTTTACTATTTTTCCTCACATTTTTGGAGGAAATGGGCTTTTTCTCTTGTTTCCCAGAACTTCCATCACACAAACACAAGGTGTTGTAAAGATTACTATGTTGGGCATGAAATCATGATTTAAACCACTAGTAAAAAGGCTGTCATCTCCATCCCGCAGCGCCTCTTCCTCTGACCTGCTGTTGACTCACTAGCAGTCCCAATATTGTAGAATATACAGCCGTATAGCACAGCAATAGCATTTTAGACTTACGTACATCCCTCTCTAAGCTGTTTACAGAGTCAGCCTATTGCCCCCAACAATCTGGATCCTCATTTTACCCACCTCGGAAGGATGGAAGGCTGAATCAACCTTGAGCCAGTCAGGATCAAACTCCTGGCTGTGGGCAGAGCTAATCTGCAATTGCAATAGCACTTAAGATTTATATACCACTTCATAGTGCTTTTACAGCCCTCTCTAAGCGGTTTACAGAGTCAGCCTCTTTCCCCCAACAACCTGGGTCCTCATTTTACCCACCTCCGAAGGATGGAAGGCTGAGTCAACCTTGAGTCTGGTGAGATTTGAAGTATCAATTTGCAGATAGCCGGCAGGCAGCAGAAGCAGCCTCCAGTACTGCACTCTAACAACTACGCCACCACCGCTCATACTACATAACTAAGCCCCATTTCATGCTGAATAAACTAAAAATTATCTGTATCTTAAATAGAAAACTATCTTTAGATAGATTTTTTCCTCCAAAAGCATTTTATTCAAATAAATTTGATAAAAATAATAAAAAATCCTATTTAAATAAAAAAATCTGATTTTTTTTAAAAAAATATTTTCTATCCATTCTGGTCTTGGAGATTGTAAGGCCAGGCTGAAAAGGAAGCTCTGCAGAAGTGCTACTGGCTAATGCAGACAACGTGAAGTTAAGAAGAGCTCCATACCAGTGATGGGATTCCAAAGTCTTTACTACCTGTTCTATGGGCGTGGCTTGGTGGGTGTGACATGGCTTGGTGGGTGTGGCAGGGGAAGGATACTGCAAAATCCCCATTCCTTCCCGATCAAATGGGACTCAGGAGGAAGAGAATAGATGGGGGCGGGGCCAGCCAGAGGTGGTATTTACTGATTCTCTGAACTACTCAAAATTTCCGCTACCGGTTCTCCAGAACAGGTGAGAACCTGCTGAATACCGCCTCTGCTCCATACACATGGTTGACGGAACTCTCATGTCTGTTAAAACTTCCCAGTGACATAGCTAGAGAAGAGATGTTGGGCAGGAAGAGAAGCTTACCGTCCCCTGTAGCCAAACATGAGGAAAAGGACACAGAAGATGATACAGGTGACCCCAATGTGGATTCCAATGATGATCCCAGTAGCTGAGGTCTTGTTGGCTGACTCATCCTTCATGCAGTTGCAGGGTGGATTGAGGTCTAAAGGGGTGAGAAAGACGAAGGGAAAACCCTTTACGTTTCTGAGAACCTGTGACACGAATCGTAGGGACAGGAAAACAAGCACTTTCTCACATCACTCGTATAGGTAAGAGGAGTACAGATAGTGACCATTCAAGGTTACAATAGCACTGAAAAAGGGAGTTTAAGTTTCAAAGCCAAGGAGCCAGCGCTGTCTGAAGATGTCTCCATGGTTATGTGGCCGGTATGACTAAATGCCAAAGGCGCACAGAATGCTGTTACCTTCCCATCAAAGGTGGTCCCTATTTTTTCTACTTGCATTTTTAAATGCTTTTGAATTGCTAGCTTGGCAGAAGTTGGGACAAGTAACGGGAGCTCACTCAATATATAGTTGAATTTAAATATAAATATTCAATATATAAATAGAATTTGTGATATAAAACAAAAAAATGTTTAATTACCCAACTAGGTAATGTCATCAGTGTGAGTAAGTGTGATGCTTGCTGCCTATTTATAAACCCCTAAATCAGTGGCCCCCAACCTTTTGGGCACCAGGGATTGGTTCCGTAGAGAGAAGTTTTTCCATGGGCCAGAGGGGGTGTGGTTTCATGTGCTGCCTGAATCCCACAGATGGGGCTTCCCCTGTTTGTGTGGCCTGATTTCTGGCCTGTTGTGGAACAGAGCTGGTCCATGGACCAGGAGTTGGGGACCCCTGCCATACATCTAAGTGTCGATGGCTGGGTTTCATTATTTGGGTGATGGAACATCTTCAAACAACCAAACTCAGCACCAAACACTGCACAATTCAACTCTGAACTACAGACCTTCTCTTTTATTAGATACCTTGAATATAAAAGACACACATGGGAACAACCATTATAAAAGACTGGAAACATTTTCTGGATGCTTTTTGTGTGTGTGCTGAAAACAGACAAATATGAATGAATCAATGATCTTGGGATTTATTGATTAAAAAGTCTTGGAAATCGAGATACGACATTTGAGAGGTAGAGATGCTTGTAGCTGCTACAAAGAAGAATATAAGTCATGTTTAAAGATCATTTTTCCTCCTTTTCTTTTAACTTTTAGTGTTTCCCCCCTACTTTTCTTTTAAGTTGCTGTAAATTTTTAAAATTCTTTGTCAATTCTTTTTCAATAAATACGTACAAGATATACATAATTTTGTATGACTATATATGTATACTTTTTTGTTCTATTTCTTAAAAAAAGAAGGAAAATATATGTTAAAATTAAATAAGTATATTGAAAAGGAATTATAAATACCATCAACATAAAATGGCGCTCAGAAGCTGAAATACACCAAGCAGATGAGATGGAGAGTGTGAAGCAGAGGAGAGAGGTAAGGGAAGGAGAGAGGGATAGGAGAGAGGGCGGGGGAAAGAGGAGAAGAGAAAGAAGGAGTGGAAGGAGGAGAGAGGAGAAGGAGTGAGGAAAGGGAAGTGGAGAAGAGAAGGATGATAGAGTGAAGAAAGGAGGTAGGGAGGAGGAGGAGAGAGGGAGAAGAAAGTGATGGATAAGGTTCAAATATGGTGTATGGAGAGCAGAAGAGCCAATAATCGTTTTTGGGAGTTGATGGTAAGATGAATTGATGTACACATTTAATAATACAATATGATGTTGTCTATGTAATAGTATACATGTTATGAAACACATTATAACATGGTTATATGTTATGAAAATGAAAAAATAAATAAAAAATTTTTAAATAAAGCAAAGAAAAGAGATACATAATTTTCCCATTTGTGTTCGGATCCTTTCTCCCTTGTTCACCCAGCTCTTCCCACCTTTCATTCATCAACCCAAACAGCTCAAGACTCCTCAGGGTGAGTTGAGCTCCTCACCTGTTTTTTCAACAGTTTCTCGAAGGGACACGAAACGGACGGTGGAGTTCCCATCACCATGTTGGTTGTAAGCAAGCAGTTTGACTTCGTACACAACGGATGGATCTGAGACAACATGGAGATGGGGGAAATACGTTAGGTCAATCAACAAGAAGGATGTGTTCAGGGGTGAGATTCAGCCAGTTTTGATCGGTTCGGATGAGCACGAAGCAAACTCCTTGTCCCGACAACAAACTTTTTTTATTAATTGACTGTGAATTCTGCTCGTTCACATCCTACAATGTCTTTCAAGGGTGGAATTACTGTCACATAACTTATCTGGCTTAGAGAGCTGCCAGGCCAATACCTGCAGAACTTGGCAAGGAACGTCGGAGGGTCATGAACCAATTAAGCGAACTAATTGACTCCTGCAAACTCCACTCCCTTTTCGCTCCTCTTTTTTTCCTCTGGGAGGGGCCATTCATAGTCCACCTGTGGCCTTACTCCCAACTCGACCCCTATTCTTTAGCTCTTCCCTTCATCTGGCAACTCTGCACATGCCCACACTGGGAACAGGCTCCAGCTCTTCGTCTGCCTCACTGATGTCTGGCTCTGAAGGCAGCTGATAACTGTTGGACAACGCTGGCCCCCTCTCTGCCTCTGACACAAAGCCCTCATCAGAGTCTTCCCCAGACTCCAGGACTGGCCCATATTCCTCCCAACCTCCTCACTGTCCGAATCTGCTTCCAGATCCGCTGGCCACTGGCGGGCCACAACAGTAATGCTGGGAAAGGGAAAAGAAGAGGAGAACCAACTACAAGGTTGATGGATTACTTTACAGATGTAATGAAGGCAATAATGGAAGATAGACAGACCAGCTTAGAGTCCCAAAGGTGTTTTTTAAGGAGGCAACTGGACTAAGAAACTCCGGTTGCTTCCTGAAAATACTCCTTTGGGACAAATATGATCTGGATGACTCAGAATCTCCATAGACCATCAGCCTAGAGACCCATCATCATGGAGAAAATGTATCTGCGAGCTCCTTGAGAGATGACAATGCCTGATGGTACGTAATCAATCATCAATCAATCTACCCAAGAGCATGATGTTGGGGGTGGGTGGGTGGTAGCCCCTAGTCCTCCCTCTTTCTCTACCACATTCCTCTTCTCTACTCACCAAGATGTGTAAGGTTGCACGAGGTAACATTGCTGGGCAGAAGGATGGGTCCCGTGAAGTGAGGAAGATGGACTTTGCGGTAGAAGAGTTTGAACCCTTCATGTTGGCCCAGTTTGATGGAAGGTTCCCACGTGGCTTGAACAGCAGTGCTGTTGAGGACTTTAATGAAGAGGGAGGGCACTGCCGGTACTGAAAGGAAGAAGAAAGCAGAGAAGGGTTGGGAGAGGCCTTCTTTCTCCTTCCAAGCTTAAAGTCCATGTCAGTGCACCTCAAAGGTACTTTGGACCAAAAAACCATGAAATCATAAACGTATTTATTTATTTTAGAATATTTATACAAAGGTATATTTAGACAAGAGCCGTTGTGGCACAGTGGTTAGAATCCAGTGATGGAGGCTACTACTACTATCTGCAATTTGGCAGTTCGAATCTCACCAAACTCAAGGTTGACGCAGCCTTCCCTCCTTACCGAGGTCGGTAAAATGAGGGCCCAGATAGTTGGGGGCAAGAGCCTGACTCTATAAACTGCTTAAAGAGGGCTGTAAAGCACCGTGAAGTGGCATATGAGTCTAAGGTGTGGGATTAAAATAATTTAACAACCGGTTCTCTGCCCTAATGATTTCTTCCAACAACCGGTTCTCCCAAAGTGGTGCGAGCCGGCTGAATCCCACCACTGGTGCGAGTGCTATTTCTATAGCCACCTACTCGCTTGCAGGGACTCTAGGCAACTTACAAAGGGTAAAAACACAAAATAGGAAAATAAATAAATACAAATTAAAAAGATAGAAAACAATAAGCCTCCCATCCACCCATCCTGGAGACAGCACACGGTTAAAAAAGCCATTTCATGGGCTCCATCCTGCTCTGGGTTCCCCAGGCCCGCTGGTAAAACCACATCTTTGGGGTCTTCCGAAGGTTTGTCCAAATGGAGGGCCAGTCTAATTTCCGCAAGAATGATGATGTTCCAAAGGGAGGGAGCCACCACGGAGAAGGCCCTTCTTCTGCGTCCCTCCAGATCAGAGGTGGGTTGCTACCAGTTCGGCCGAAGTGGTAGTGGAATTCAGGCCTGGGTCGCAAAACTGGCAGAGACCCAAGCCTGCCACGCCCCTGAACCAGTTCCCTTGCTGCCACCATTTTGGATTTTAGTGACTGCACATGCGCAGTTCACTGTAAATTGTTCTGAGCATGTGTGCAAAACAATTTACATTGAACTGTGCACCCGCGCAACGAACGTGTCTAGCGCACATGTTGCAAGTCAGCAGGAATGCTGGCAGTGACCCACCCCTGCTCCAGATGTACTTCCTTAGGGGACAGGATCTGCAACATGCCTCCCCGCTCTAGTGGATCGGGTAGATGTGACCAAGAAGAGACGGTCCCTCAGATTTTATCAAATTTATTTCACCGTGAGCCCTCACCTTAAGCCAGTGATTGCTTATGTGGAACTGTCAACACCCTTGTCAACCCTGAAGCTGACCTGACTGAAGCCATTTTTACTGCCTCAGTGTTGCCACGCTAGGGAAGGGGGGGGATTTGAGATAGAGGGGATTATGTAGCCAAAACAAAATACTTTATCTTGGGAACCAAGGACATTCTCACACCTGGTTGGAGGAAGGCGGAGAGATGCTACCCAGTTGTCAGACCGCTCCGTGATTGGACCATGTGACTGATGGTTTTGAGAAAGAGAAAAAAACTTTTACTTTTAATTAGGTGAAAACCGGCAGGAATCTTTAGAGTCAGTTTTCCACCAGATCGGTGCCAATATGATATTTCCAATAAAGTTATTCTTTGAGGAGTTCACCTGCATCGGAGTTTTGCTTGCTATGGGATTATTACTTGGAAACTTGACACCTCAAACATCAAGATGCTACTTTGGATACACTCTTGATGGAACCACAAATCATAAAGCAAGCTAGGATGGGGTGGGTGGGTGCTGAGTTAATGATTAACTGTGTTTGCTCATCCATTACAGAAACTAATGCCTCTGATTTTTTTTTTTTAAAGGCCAGGGCTTGGGGCAGGGAGGAGATAAAGCGTTGGCTTGGAGCATTGGGAGGCCTCTATAATTTCTGTCACTGTTACCAGAGCCATAACAGTAACATTGAAGGAGTTGAAAAAAATGTGTGTTTAAAAAAAAAAAAAAGACAAATGGAGAAACTCCAGACTTTATGAGGCTGCAAGCTACCCTGTTTCCCCGAAAATAAGACCTCCCTGAAAATATTGCAACACGGCAGCAGCCATGAGGTGACCACGCTTGCCGCCTCCTGCACCTCAAAAATAATAAGATTGAATATATGATGTACAATGATAACAATGTATCTATGTATATTTGATGGACAATCTGTGATTTTATATGCAATTGAAAGTGGTTGTTAGGAATATAATTCTAATGGTTGGGTTGGCAATGTATAAATCATGTAACAATGTTGTACCTGTTTCTTTAAATCATACTGTAAAATGTGATTGGTTGCTGTTTTCCTCAATCGGCCATAAGAGGGAGCCAGAATGACTGTTAGTTCTCTGTTCGTTAGATGCTGGACTGATCTGAGTGCCGTGAGCTATTGTAAGTTTTGCAACTGCTAGCAAACTTTGAGTTCTGAACTGATTATATGATACTGGACTATGTTATTTGGATTATCCCTTAACTGAAAGACATTGATGACTGACTGTCTTATCCATGTATGATTTGGACTGTTTGATGGATTCTGATACCTCTATTTCCACGAAAGTAAAAGCCTATTTAAACTGCAGTGTCTCTGTATGCTGGTTTGTGTGTTCTCCAACACAACTCTCGCAACACTTCTCCCAATGGGGAGCTTACTTAACAGTGGTGATTCACAAGTATAAAATGTTGGATTTTTTTTTCATATTGTAAGAATAATAGGAGATAGGTGATACCATAAAGACATATTATTATTAAATAGACTAATAATGATGTAATGGAATGTTGGTATATACATGAATCTAACCTCTAGAATATTTGTTTAAAATGAAGGAAAAACAATTGTAAGCTGAACATATGATCAACAATGATAATGTACCTATGTATACTTGATGGACAATCTGTGAATATATGTATGTATGTATGTGTGTGTGTGTGTGTGTGTATATATATATATATATATATATATATATAAAGTTACAACCCCTGGTATGCCCAAATATGGGAGGAAGTTCACTGCTTCCATTCTCTGTCCATTGGCTCGTCATAAGAGACCATCCAGACAGAAACCCAATATTTTTTTACTGTTGCCTTTGTTACAGCACAAATACAACACGGTGATGCACAAATGTTTGTAACCAAATGACATGCTATATGTATATGTAATCGATGATGGTTTCATGTTTTATGTTTTGTTTGTCTTTGGTCAAAAAAATGTAAATAAATAAATAATAAGAACCCCCCTCAAAAAAAAATAAGGCCAAGTGCTTATTTCGGGGAGGTCGAAAGAAAATAAGACCCTGTTTTATTTTCGGGGAAACATGGTAATGTCCTGAACTCCTTGTCCAATCCTGCTGTGTTCTCTCTGAGGAGCCAGAAACTTTGGCAGAAGGACAGATGGGTCATCTCAAAATACAGGTTGTCCTTGATTTACAACAGTTTGCTTAGTGACTGTTCAATGTCACAACGGTCCTGAAAACAATGACTGATGACCATTTTTTACACTTATGTGAATGACGGTTGCAGTATGAAACCGGGTCATGGGATCCTTGTTGCAATGAGCCAAGGCAAAGCCAGCTTGACTTAACAACCATGTTGCCCTCTCAACAACCGCAATCATTCAGTTAACCCCTCGGGCAAGGGAGGTCGTAAATGGGACTAAACTCACTTAACAATGGAAGTCATGGGTTCAATTGCAGTCGTAAGTCAAGGACGACTTGAAAACTTTGATCAACCTGTCCCTCCACCCGTCAAGGACTGAAATTGGGACGTTCCCAAAGCCCAGGTGATTTGCTCTCCAGCACTGTGCAATACTCGTCCCTCTGCAGAACGTCTGAACCTGAAGCGGAGCCTTCTTACCTTCTCCCAAGGTGCTCACCACCACAATGTCAGAGGCCTTGCTGGCCCCACGGGAAGTGTAGGCTTTGATGTAGAAACTGTAGCTGGTGGAAGGCTCCAGCTCTGTCACCAGCTGCTGGAAGGTGCTTTTACTGACGGCCTCCTGATATTCCATCTCCACTGGGTCTGAAATACAAGAGGAAGGAATCAGGAAGGAAGGGGGAGAGAGAGAGGAAGGGAGGGAGGGAGGGAAAGAGGAAGGGAGGAAGGAAAAGAGTGGAAGGGAAGGGAGGGAGGGAGAGAAGGAAAAGAGTGGGAGGGCCGAAGGGAGGGAGGGAGGAAGGGAGGGAGGAATGAAGAGGAAGGGAGGGAGAGAGGAAGGAAGGAAAAGAGTGGAAGGGACGGAGGGAGAGAAAGAGGAAGGAAGGAAGGAAGGAAGGAAAAGAGTGGGAAGGCCAAAGGGAGGGAGGGAGGAATGAAGAGGAAGGGAGGGAGGGAGGAAGGAAGGAAAAGAGTTGAAGGGAAGGGAGGGTGGGCTGGAGGGAGGGAGGGAGGGAGGAAGGAAGGAAGGAAGGAAGGAAGGAAGGAAGGAAGGAAGGAAGGAAGGAAGGAAGGAAGGGGTCCAGGGACCCACCAATTGGAAGAAATGTGCTGCCAATCCTCAGTTTGCACCAAGGAGCCCTATAGATCTGCCTCCAATGCCTTACATCCTCTGCCACCTGGAAAGTCATTTTGAGAATTCAGGCCACAGAATTGCTTGGAATCAAGTGATGAATTGATTTCTATATATTGGAGATGGAATCTCTCCCATTTGATCGCCAGCCTGCCTGCCAGCTTCCTTCTTAAGAGGCTCGGTGTCAAAACAACAAAAACAAAAAAACCCATGGCTTGTTGCATTTTGCCACTAGATGTCAGGCATGCCAGTATATATTTCCCTCCCTCCCCCCCCCTCTCTCTCACACACAGCCCTAATTCATTTAGATTCTCAAAGCAGCTTACATGGCCGAGAGTGCTAAATTTAAGACGGGGGAAAGAGAGTTCAAATTCTTAAACCTATTCCTAAGCAAAATGGGATGCCTTTGAGACTATTTGCCCTCATTATCCTCCCTAAGGAAGGATAAAATCGGGGAGAAAGCATGTCCTTAAGGAAAAAAAATAGAAGGAAACGCAGCATAGAAACCCATTAGTTCTCTAGCTACTTTTTCCAAAGCCTGTACATTAATCTATGCAGTTTACCAAAGGGTTCCCCCCCCAAATCTATAATTATACAGGAAGTCCTCGACTTTCAACAGCTCACTCAGTGACCATTCAAAGTTACAATGGCATTGGAAAAAGTGACTTAGGACTGTTTTTCACATTTACGACGGTTGCAGCGTCCCAGGGTCACGTGATCATCTTTTGCGATCTTCCGACAAGCAAAAGTCAATGGGGAAGCCAGATTCACTTAACAACTGTGTTGCTAACTTTAACAACTGCATTGATTCAGTTACCAACGGGTGGCAAGAAATTGTGGCAAAAAAAGGCCCATCCCAATTGTTTTGCTCGGCAACTGAGGGGTTGGGCTCAAATGGGGTCATAAGTCGAGGACCTGTGATAAAACTAACACAAAGGTAATGCTGCAGCCAGCCAGTTAATTATGTTTCACCTGGAGGAAAGAACTGGCATGAAAGGCAAAGGACCCACTGAACTATTTGACTCACTAAAGAGGGGCTACGAATGACAAATGAAGACAGCAATGTTGCACAAAAGTGACACCCCCTTTATATGGGCCAGACTGCAGACCCATAAAAAAGCAGGTGGGGAATGGGGTGTGATGGCTTTCATCACCTGGACCAAAGTGATGGACCTTGCAAATGTTTCTGCCGCTAAACTGTAAGAAGAGCAGTCGGGAACATAGAATAATAGAGTTGGAAGGGACCTTGAGGTCTTCTAATCCAACCCTCTGTTCAAGCAGTAAGAATGGACATTTGGAAACAAGGAGTAAGGGAGTAAGAATGATACTTGAAAATAAGAGATTCCTGGACAACGTAGACCTGAATTACAGTTCCCAGTGTGGTTTTCCATCCATCCATCCATCCATCCATCCATCCATCCATCCATCCATCCATCCATCCATCTTATCCCCCTATTTCACCCAACAGAAGGAGATCAATCGGCACTTTGCTGAAATCTGCCATTACAATTTCTTAAAAAAATATGTTTCTGGTTCTTTTTGCCTTTATTCTCAGGATACCAAGAATTGCTCTTTGCATTAAAGTTCTCCAGGTAGAATTGTTCTGCCAATTTTCTTGCTGAACATGATATGCAAGTCCCTCTGCATCCTTTTTATTTTTCTGCACTCCTCCTAAGCTGTCCTAGCTTTTTGCCTTGATCTTCAAAAGTTTCCTAGAAGGCTTTCAACCATTTAACATTTGGCATGAATTAATCACACTTGGCCAATAAATTATTCTATTCTATTCTATTCTATTCTATATTCTACTCTATGTTCTATATTCTATATTCTATTCTATGTTCTTTCTATATTCTATATTATATTCTATATTCTATATTCTATTCAATTCAATTCTATATTATATTCTACTCTATGTTCTATATACTATTCTATTCTATTCTATTCTATTCTATTCTATTCTATTCTATGTTCTATTCTATTCTATTCTACTCTACTCTACTTTACTCCACATTCTATTCTATATTTTATATTTTACTCTACTTTATATTCTATTCTATGTTCTATTCTATTCTACTCTATGTTCCATATTCTATTCTACTCTACTCTACATTCTATTCTATATTTTATATTGTACTCTACTCTAGAGTACAATATATATATACTGTATATATATATATTCTATATTCTATATCCTATATCCTATCTTCTACATTCTACATTCTACATTCTATTCTATTCTTCTGTTCTGCTCTATCCCTGGGAATGCAGGGGGATGCTGACTGCTAGATGGTGCAATGCAAAATAGGACAGATGCATCTCCCTTGAGCCCCTCATCTTTCCATCAATGTCTCTCCACCCTCAAGCAAGTCTCCTATCACCTCTTCTCCTTGGAAAAAATAATATAACTGCCAACCTTCTGCTTGAGAACCGCTAGTCAGAAGTGCAAGAAAAGACACTTTCTGTATAGTGCGAATATGAGCAGCCTTGGGTCCTTGTCAGCCACTCCTACCTGCTGCTTTTCTAATGTGCAGGACGTAGCCGATGATCTCCTTGGTGTTTTGCAACGGCTCGCTCCACTGCAGTTGGACGGTGGTAGCCGAGACGGAAGCCGCTTTGACTTCTTGTGGAGGACCCGGAAGTCGGTCGGCCCACAGCACCGTCAAGCGGGCGCTTGCTTGGGTGGAGCCCGCGCTGTTCTCAGCGATGCACTGGTAGATGGCCTCATCGGTCTGGCCAATGTTGGAGATGGTGAGCGTGCTGGATGGAAAACAATCAAACCAGGCAAGATTAGAATTTTCTAGCAAGCCCCCTACGGACTCAGCCTTCCTCTGACGCTGTTCACACAGCCCCAGGCAGACCAGGTTAATCCTTCAGTGTTTGAAAAGGGTGTAACGGAAGTCTAGATTGCCCAGGTGAGACTCCCCTTCAGGCTTTGTTTTGTGTAGGGTGGGATAAAGCCCAGTGGTCTCTAGCTGAGTGTGAAAATTTGAACCCCCTAAAGCAAGTGGATTGTATTGAAGGAAAGAGAGGAAATGAGCAGGAGGAGGAGAAGGAGGTGATGGAATTAATTGGCTCTTGTAATTGGCCCACATCTCAGCAGAGGCCAAAAAAAAAAATCCCCTTTGCAAACCACACCCAGAAAAAGGCTCTCTCCATTTGTGGTGGACAGAAAATTAATAATAAAGGAGAATATTTGCAGCTCGGGATTGAAATTAGAGGTTCTTGGTGCTCTCTGAGCTTAGTTGGTTTTTTTGTTTGTTTGTTCTTTTGCAGATGTTTCACTACTAGTAACATCATCAAGGCTAGTACAATACAATAGCAGAGTTGGAAGGGACCTTGGAGGTCTTCTAGTCTAACCCCCTGCCTAGGCAGGAACCCCTACACCGTTTCAGACAAATGGCTATCCAACACCTTCTTAAAGACTTCCAGTGTTGGAACATTCAAATCGTCTGGAGGCAAGCTGTTCCACTGATTAATCGTCCTAACTGTCAGGA